TCTGTTTTATCATTAGAACTTGTTGCATGTGCTTGAAAGGGCAAATTTGAGTTTGGTAATGGTTAGGTTGCTATGTTTTTCACTAGAATTGCTTATTCTTCCTTTTACTAGTTGTTCTTGGTTCAATTTGATTAATTAGCATCCTTTCCAGCTCTTAATACATGAATTAGGTTTGGTTATACTCTGTTTTCACCTAACTCGATCGAGTTTGTCACTCGAGTTTTTTGACTCGATCGAGCTGGGTGTCGAGTTGGCCGAACCAACAATTGCAACTCTAATTCCTTTGAGTTTTTGATCCATTTCAGGAACCCAACTTCAAGAAGCAACCGTTCTAAGATGTTGAGAGGTGAAGGAAGCAAGCCAGCATTCACAAAGAAGGAAATAACAAGAGGAGCAAGGAGGATACTCACGACACTAACCAAGGAGGATGAGGAAGAGATTGAGAGGGTGAGGGAAGAGGGGAGAACCAAAAGAAGGAATGATCCTCTCAGCAGTGAAAGCGAAGTAGGAGAGTTTGAAATTGGAGTGAACATCCCACATGAGGAGAATGATGACTCCCCAAGTGAAGAAGAGAGTGATGAGTTCAATCAAGAGATTGAGGAGAGTGAGCATGAGAGCGATGAGAATGTGCCCATGGAAGAGGAGGAGTCAGAGGAAGAAGAGGATCAGCTCCCCATGTACCAAGAGCATTATGATGCTCTTTTCTCCATGGACTTTGTGGAGACTAAGTACCCACATGATGACACAATGAAGGCTCTTGGGATCTTTGATGATGTAGAGTTGGTACTCAAGAACATGCGCCTGGCCAAGTTCTTCTCTTACCGCTTGGAGTCATACAAGGTGCTCACTTGTGAGTTCTTGGCATCAATGAGGTTCCACAAGTACAAGCAGCTCGATCGAGCTGAGTTGGACCAAGGATTGGGATGGATCACTTTCTTGGCAAGAGGAGAAAGGAAGGTGACCTTCAGGCAGTTGGAGATCTTGTTTGGTTCACTTATGGGAGGGAACCAATTGGGATATCAAGGAAGGATGAGCTCCAAAGGGTTTGGGCTACAATCGCTGATGGAAGTACTCTTCCTCAAGGTCTAAGGCAGCTCAAATCAGGAGCCCATGTTGAGATATGTGCACAAGGCTCTGCCAACACCTTCTTTGCAAGGAAGGCGACTGGGACAATCAATGAGGGAGAAGTCAAGTTCCTTGACATGGGAATCAAGCCCATCATCTCACGCACAAGTGATGGGCAAAGATCAGAGGAGATAGACACGCAGGGAACCTCATGCCTCTCCTTGAGCAGCTCCACCTACAAGACCACAGCCTACAACACTAGACAAACGAGGAAGAAATTAAGTGTTGGAGGTCATCACTCCTATCCTTGTGTGAGCAGCCAGACAAGAGAGCCGAGGTTGGATGGATCAAGTTTTGCAAGACCAACCTCTCATTGAGCACAAGGAGTTGGATGGGAGGTTCCAATTCAAATTCACACATCCCTTGGCTGGCCCTCCAAGCTTCTTCTGCCCAACCCTGAGCTCACCACGGTCCTAGGGGGTGAGAACATTGACTTCAGACCCCCTGTGTACACTTAGTTGGGCATGAAGGGATTTGCGAGGAAGAGGAGCTGAGGATCGAGTTGAGGACAACGCTCGAGTGAATGAGGATTTGGGTGAGCCTGAGTGCTATTATTTTGAGGAGTATGAGGCTCCAAGGATGAACCCCTCTGTTGTGGCTGCACACAAGAGGATTGGACTTCTCCAAAAGTTCAACAAGTGGCAAGGGAAAGCCATGAGAAGATGCAAAAGTCCATGGACAAGATGGTGAGCAAGATCAAAAGTTTGGAGAAGAAGGTTTCTGGTTCTTCAAGCAAGAAGAAGAAGTCCAAGGCTCCCACATTCCCTAGGAGTAGATCTCTCCTCACCACTCCAAGGAGGCTCCCTGCCCAAGAGCCTCACAGAGCCTCTTCATTTCGAGCCAAGGGAAAGGAGGACAACTCGCAGAGGAGGAGGAAGAGTTCCAAGACTCGACGCTCCAACTCGATCGAGCAAGAGCTCGATCGAGCTGAGGGTCGAGTTGACCTGGAGGAGCCCCTGTTTGAGAACCCTGGGTTCGAGTACGATCAACCCAGTACCAGGACTTCTCTCAGACCCTGGACCCCTACAACCGCTTCGAGCAAGCACAGCTCCACCAAGGCCAAGGGAGCCACACCACTTTGAAGATGAAGAAGAAGAGGAGGAAGAGCCACAAGCTCGATCGAGTGAGCGCAAGAGCAACCCAGTTCGATGGAGTGCTCCTGATGGCCGTCTCCCATCTCCAGACCACGACCTAGCCTCCCAGTTCTTTGGGGGGCACTGAGGTATCCAAACACCAACCCTTGTAATACCATTTCATATTTTCTTGCATTTGTTCTTTTTTTCTTGGTTTTGCCCTCTTGAATCTTTCACTAAATTTTTCTCACACAAGGGACTGTGTGATTTAAGTTTGGGGGAGGGTTCAAGAGATGATTTAACCTTGTTTTCTTTGTTCTTAGTTTTTCATTATCTTTTGCATAGAAAAACCAAAAAAATCATAAAATTTTCAAAAAATCCAAAAATATTTTCATCTTTTTGCATTCATATTTGTTAGACTTGTTTAGGATTGCATTTTTCACTTGCATTGTTGATTTGACTTTGAAAACTTGTCATCTTTTGCGATTTCTTGAGTGCCCTGTTTCTAGATTCTTTTGTGCATTAGGGTGAGATTGATTGAGCAGCAAGAACCATGTTTATCTTGATCATATCACTGCATGCACATCTCATTCAACCATTGCTGTGATTTGATGCATTTCCCTATCTATTTGAACCATAACTTGATCTTTAATTACCAATGCTTGCATTTGATTTCAACTCATGGCTACCACATACATATCTGGACATTCTTTACCTATTTTCATATCCCTTTGCTTGTCCAGATAGCTGATCTCTATCTTTGAGACAGTTACCACACCTTAAACCTAAGCCTTTTTCATTTCAAACCCCTTATTATCTCTTGTGCGAATGTGAGAACCTTTCTTGGCTTTGCTTAGCATAAGGTGTTGTGTTTAAACCGGCAGGGGCAGTAGTTCTAGTTGTCTAGTTCTCTTGGGATTGTTTTCAGGCTAAGTTTGGGGGTGCCAACTCGAGCTCGATCGAGTTGGGTGTAAAAACCAGAAAAGTGGTAAAAGTTGGGAAAATCCAAAGGAAAAAGAGTTTAGTTAAGTCCAGGGAGTTGGCAGTGTTTAAAAAGGGTCTAGTAAAGGTTTGGGAAGTTAAAAAAGGAAAGTAAAAAGGGTTCTAAGTAGAATGAAAAGAAGGCAAAGCCTCAAGTGTCAAAAAGGAAAGAAAAGTTCCCTAAGTGTTTAGAAAATCCCAAACCGCTAGATGTTACCTCAAGAAGCCTCTCCCTAGGAAGTTCTTAAAAGAAAAGTGAGCAAAGCTCCTCAGTTTCAAAGGCGAAATGCCAAAAAGGGTAGTTAGGATTTTGTTCTAAAAAGCTCTAAGTGTTGAACTCGATCGAGTTAGGATTAGGCGGCTCGAGCTGCTGTTCTTGCATCATCTTTGGTTCTAACACTTAGCCTTCTGCCAAAGCAAAGCCACTTTCTTGAGAGATCCCTGTTACTAAACCACCATACAAAAGAGACCCTCTTTGTCTCTTAACCCATAAACCCTTGAAACCAAATGAGTTGATTGATCTTGCATGTTTTTGGTTCACTGTTTTTGCTTAATGAATGTTAAAGGGATTTGCTGATTTGAATGCATTGTTTGAGTGACTGTGAAGTGGGATTGATGTTGATAAGCATGGTTAAATCTTAATGAATATCTCTCACCTTGTTGCATTCTAGAATCTCTAAGTTGGACATTTAGCAAATCGCTTTTGAGGACATGTTTTTAAGTGTTGAATCAGCTTTTTCAAACCTCATCTCTTTCTTGTTCTATTTGTTTGCTTGAGGGCAAGCAAAGGTTCAAGTTTGGGGGTGTTGATGTACTTGCATTTTACATAGTTTTAGCACATCTTTTATGCATCTTTTGCATAGTTTTAGCTTCCATTTGCATCATATCTTGTTCCTTTTCTCTTCTTATGCATTCATGTTAGTTTTAGGTTGCATTTGCATACATATGCATGTTTGGTCCTTTGAAATAGGTCTTTTGGAGCATTCTGGAGCATATGGGACAAGGAGCATGGAGGGACTTGGCACATGGAAGCAGCTCAACTGGATACGCAAAGGAAGAAGGGAGAAGCCATCTTGAAGACCAGCTCGACCGACCACTCGACCTCAACTCGACCGGCCAAGCTTCAACTCGATCGAGCTGGAAGTCAAAGTCAAACCCGAAAAATGTTGCTTCCCCCTTGACTTTCCTTTGACCCTAAACCTAAATCCTCTTGTATTTAAAGGCTCTAAGCCACGAAAAAACACCAAGCTTTATTATTTTGTTTTAGTTTCTTTTAATTTATTGTCTTTTACTTTTTAGAACTAATCCCATCTTTGTGTTCTTGAAGCTCTTGCTTCTTGAATCCTAGATCCTGGATAATCTCTTTGTATTTGCACTTGCTTATTTCAATAAAAGTTGTTTATTTCATCTCCTCTTTCTTATGATGTCTCTTTTATTGCATTTGCTTGTGTTTACATTCATGTGTAGTGAGTAGTTACCCATTAGGGTTTGAGATGGGATAGATTAGAGGTTTCATATGCTTAATCCTTCTAGCTTATGGTCTTAATCTAGATTCTCTCTCTTTTGGATAGATCTTAAGGCTACATGACCACTACCCCTGGCTTGTAAGTCCTTAGGCGACTCCCCACACGAAAGTGATGGCATTCGCTGGAAAAGATCCACTAAGAGCTCCAATATCTCTTGCTCTAGACAATAGAGGTCTAAGGGGTTGGATGGATTAGTTTGGGCAATGATCCTATAGCCTCCAAGGTTTGATTCTCACTGGCTAACCCCCTGTTTCTGAGATCATTCCTTGGTTGATAGCCTTCACCTTGGGAAAGGGTTGGTTAGGCAAGAGAAGCCCAATATCAAGAGAAACCTTGATTCAAGGAGTTTTCTTTATTTTTAGGATTTTTAGTGTTACTTCAAATCTCTTACTGCTTGCTTGACTTTCTGGTTGTTTCATATTCTCATAGAGTGACAAGACTTCCCATTTTGGATTGATAACCCTTTGTACTACATCAACTATCATGGTTAAAGGGAATTGTTGACTGTGTTTGTGTTTGCATCTTACCACCATCATTTACCACTGATTGCATTCCACTCATCTCATTTCATTTCTTTTCACATCCACACACAAAACTTACACCATCAATTCGGTTTTACTAAGACAGTCAGGATGGTTTTTGATGATGCGGTTCTACCTTAACTTCAAGAACTATCAAAAGCGCCAAACAACTTAGAACTAGGGCACTGAAGCAATTCCGCAACTCAATCAATCAGCTCAACAAACATTGCTCAGATGCAAAAGAAATGATTTTAACTACATGCTCTGTTTTTGGGTTTTTTTTTAGCAATGCAAAAATGAAAATTTTACATGATTTTCTAAAGATGTAAATGCATGAGACTCAAAGGTTATGCAAAATATAAAATAAGAACATAAAGCACTTCGTCAAATACCATTGACCCTCTCCCCCACACTTAGTTCACACGGTCCCTTGTGTGATAAAAAGGCAGAAGAGAGAATCAAAGCAAAAGATAAGTGAAAATAGAAAAGAAAAATGCATGCTATTTACAGGTTGGGGTTCATACCTCTCAGAAAGTTTCTGAGGAGAAGGATGATGTGGAATCATCCTTGGTGCTCGCCGGAGGTGACTTTGAGGCTTTCCTCTTCGTCACCTTCTTCGGAGTCGGCGACCACGTTCTCGCCATCGTCGCCATTGTTGGAGTGAATGGAGTAGAGGTGTATCGGAGTGGTGTTGACGGAGTCGTGGCTGGGAGACTAGCTCTTGCCCTTGGTCAGCTGCTTGATGCGCTTCCCCATCTTCTTCACGGTCTTGAGGAGGGACTTGATCGCTTTGTCCTGGAATTGGTTCCAGGCCCTGAGCGTGTTGATGCTCTCAAGTGCGGTGTTAGCCGCTGACTTCTTCCCTTTATCTTGTGGTTCTTGAAGTGGAACTCTCCGGTTTTGTAGTCTATGAGGTTCTCCTCGTCTCCTGAGCTCTCTTCCGCATCAGCTGCTCCTGGATAATCGTACTCCTCCTCCTCTTGGCCTTGTTCAAGAATCGTGTCGATAGGAGGTTCGAAGTCGATGTTCTCCCTGACCGTGATGTAGGTCAAGGGCTGGTTTGGCAAGAAGAAACTCGCAAGCCCGAAGTTGAACTGCCTGTAGGCGAACTGATAGTTGTGGCGTCCGCTGATGGGTTGACCTCGAAGATAGGTGCTCTTGCGGAGATAGTGGATGTTTATCGACTGAGGGTCAACCGGCTTCTCAAGCGTGATTCTGCAGTTCATGAGGATCGGCGTTATGAGTCCTCCACAACTCAGCTGTCCACTACTTGCCTTGTGCACTTTGTTGAGAGAGAGAGCATACTCCCTGTAGCTGAGGAAGCTCTTGAGAAGATACGTCGCCACGCTGTTCCCTGTTCTGTCCCCGACCATCTCAGTTCCATCCGGCAACGTGTGAATCACCTTCTTCACGCTTTCATTTAGGAAGAAGAGCTCCTTTTCGGTGACACCAGTAACGTCTCGTCTCGCATAGATAGTGTGAGCGAGGGACTTGTGGACGTATCGGAGCACGGGGTTCCTGACGTGTGTGCTCTTGGCAGTGCTCGACATGTACTCGCCAACACCGATCATTGCCCAAAAGGCTTGAAGCTCTGCATGTGGTGTTCCAGGCTCTGTTTCTCGCCCATCTTTGTGTTCAAAGTGAAACACATCCTCCAGCTCCTTGAAACTCATCCGATACTTCCTCTTTTTGATTCGGAAGGAGAACCTTCCACTTCCATGGCCCTCAGGCACGATCTCGTCGGGCTCGTAGAAGTTAACTCGGAGAGTGGAGAGGAACTCGATGGTTTCCTTCTTGTATGCGGGCAGAGGGTTCATCATCAGCCTTGTAAGCTGCATCTCATCGAAGAGGTAGTGACAGTCCTGAGAGATCCCTAACTCTGCCATTGTCGTGAGGTCAGGGTATCTCGTTCTGACGAAAGACATCTTGTCGAAGATCTCGGCGTAGTCCTTGCTCTTCATGACCCCGGATCCGCTTTGCCTACTGCCTGAGCCTTCCTCTATCACCGGTTTCTTTCCTTCCGCCTTCTCCGCCGCGGCTCTCGAGAGAGTTCCTCTTGTTGTGGACACCATTGTTCCTGTGGAACAAACAAAAACTCACAAACAGAGTAAGTTCTCTAGCCAAATAATGTCACTCGCAAGGCTTAGAGAAGAAACAGATCAAGCAAGTTGAGATTCGAGATAAAAATCAAAGCTTTAGATAGATCTCAACTAAAAAGGTCGATTAAAACCGGCGGTGAACTCAAATCTCGGAAAAACAGAGACATGCAAAACAGTTTTCAAAAATCCAAACTCAAAATCTCTCTTTCAACCTTAACCCGAAACAAATCCAACCTCTACTAAGCGAAAATCAAAACCAAATCTAGCTAAAGTCGGAGAAATTACCGGTTGAGCGCAGAAAACGGTTTTGAAAGAGAAGAAGAAAGAGCGAAATTGTAGATAGAAGAAGAAAAAAAAATTTCTTGCACAAATCGGGAAAAAGGAGAAGTGTGAAAGAGAGATGTTTGGCTTGTCTCGGTTTTGTAAAGGGTAAAGTAAGAGAGAGATGGGGTTGCGGAAAAATCGGGAAAGGATTTGGATTAATGATATACCCATATCTTTCATGTTTTTATCAAGGTTTTCACTATGTTTTTAATACAAATAATGTGGTTTTTAAGCCCAAGAGGTAGTTTTCTTGTATATTCTGGTTTTGAGCATCATTCAGGTCAAAATAGCAAAGAAGAGTCCAAAATGGAGCAAAAAGAGTCAAATCACCAAGTTCCCAAGTCTAGAGCACCAAAATACATTTCTCGCTAAAGACCAAACCGGAGCATCCGAAGTACGACCGCATATTCATGCCTTCCCGACGTCCAAAAGTCATGATTCTTATATGGAAAGATAGATATTTGAGTCATGACCCGCGGCGAAGTGGAAAGAGGTCATTTGGATCACTCGTTGGACCGGAACTTATTTTCTACCAAGACATGTCCGACGAGCGCCTAAGTAGAGCCCATGGAGACTTTGATGGATCAAGAGGCCCGAGATACCGCGCCCAAGGCCTTGGCTCATCTTGACACTAGCATAACTCAATCCAGAAGCTTCCATTGGCCTGAACGCGGCCCATTCAAGAACTTGGAGAGCAAGCTCAAGCGGCTAAAGAGAAATGGAAACTTTCCTCTTCTGCGCGCGCTCAACTTTGCCGACCTAGACCCGCTCTCTACCTATATATACTTGCTTTTAGCCTCTTGTAATAAGAATCACCAGCCGCATAACAAGAAACACTTATTCAATAAAGTTCGGAGCCACTTAGGTGGTCTCCTTCTTCTTTCTTTTCTTCTTTTGCATTTGTATATAGCTTGCATGTTTCAATTTATATAGTCTAGAAGTAGAGATTTCTCCCTAAGGGTGAGGCGTGGTTTAGTCCATATTCCGCCGCCTCTCTCTCTAAGGATTCATGAGACTTCATCTACTATCTAAGACTCATTGTTGAATTATGGATCCTTCCAATGAGGACGTGATATAATGGCCATCGAAAATCGATTGTTAAAAGGGGAAACCCTATGGTTCTCCATCTTTATTTATGCTTAATGCCTGTTGCTAGAGTAGCTAACTAGTGACTTGATTTTAGGTTGATATACTCTCCAAAAGCTTGTTATATCTCCGGATATAGTATTTGATGGGCAAATCGTTTTAGGCTACGAAAGTAGACCTAAAGAGTTTTGTGAACAATCATTACTTGGATGTAATGCATGTCTCACTCTACAATGACCAACGAAAGCTGAGCCCATTGGTTTAAGAGACATAGGGGATTGGAACCACGAAAGTGGAATAATCCTTCCTTAGTGTTTTGAGTTCAAAAGAATCGGATTTTAACAAACTTTTCAATCGACTTGGCTCATGTTTTCAAAAGAGTTTTCAATAGTTCAATAATGTTGCTTGTATAGAATTGCATTGTTATTTCTTTTGCGTGTTCTAAACAAACACAAACCCTTGCATCTTTTGATTTAGCTTAGTCATTTAAACTCTATGATTATGTAATGTGTGAAATCCAATCCCTTGTGGTTCGACCCCTAAATACTACAATTATATGTTGTGCACTTGCAACACTAGTTGTCTTAGGGAATTATTACTTGTACTCATCCCATAGATGCCGCATCAAGTTTTTGGCGCCGTTGCCGGGGATTGCATCATAAACACTTGCATAGTCTTGTTTAAAACTAAGTCTAGATCTTGGTATTTTCGAATACTAACTTTTTCTTTTAAATCTTGTGTTTATAGGTACTTGGAGATGAATCACAACACCAACATCCACTTTGGGAACCGGACACTGATCCCACACGATCTCCACGGCCGGGTTTACCAAGATCCAGCCGTAAGCATCGTGCCACATCCGTTCCCTCCCAACCGCGCTCATCCGACGTTTGAAGGACCTAGCCGAGACGAGCATCATTACCATCATCATCAAAACCGACCTCCGGTTTATCATCAACCACCTAGACCAGTGTTGCATTCACACCACGACCATGTTCTCAATAGGCGGAGAGATAGCCATTTCGATGCCGTGCTTGAGGGTTTCATGGAGAGCCAAAGAAAAACTAGCCGCGACATTGAGACAAAGCTAGAGTTCACGCGATACGAACTAGATGGAAGACTTGGAGAACTCTCTACCCAAATAGAGAGAGTAGAGTCAAGATGCTTGGACATGGAGGAAGATTTGAAGAAGCAAGGCGAGGCCATTGAAGACAATAGGAGAGCGATACACTTTACCAAAGTTTCCACCAAGGAGATGGACAATCACTTAGATGAGAAGATCACAAGTCTTGATAACAACCTCGATGGCACCACCAAGAGTCTCAATTCAATAACAGCAGTAGCTCATCAAGCTAAGAGGGAGGTAGCCGAAGTAACCCTAAAGAGAGGCAATGTTACTCGACAATGCTTACATTGGTGGAAGGGCAAAAACAAGTGAAGGCACAAATCCGAGATTTACACATCTCTCTAGACAAGAGGAGCCAAGATATTCAAAGAAGAGCTAGAGGGCTTGAAGACAAAGTAGATGGAGTCTCCAAGGAAGTCAAGGATTTAACCACTCGCTTAGCCAACTTGGAAGAGAAGGTCTTGACCGAGGCAAAGACGACCGTTCTAAGCACAACCATGCCGCGTCCGTCTTTACTATAAGAGAGACCGACCCAAGAGTGATTTGGGATGAAGAAGAAAGGAGAGCTGATCAAGAAAGAGCCACAAGGCTAACCACTGGAACAAAAGAAAAGATAGCTGATCAAGAAAGAGCCACAAGGCTAACCATTGGCGAGCTTTGCCATCAAGTGAGAATGGGAATAAACGAAGTTTGGTTGCGTCTTCGCTTACCCCATTCTGTGTGATCAAGTCACATGCTCTGTCAAACTCGTCAAGATGGTCCAACGGGTCTTCCTCAGGTAGACCGTGATAGATCTTTTGTTGGACTTGATGCAGAATGTGCGGTTTGATTTCGAAGTTGTTGTGCACATTCGGCGGGGCTATGCCTTGACGGTTTTCGTGAGTGTTAGGTGCATCGCCGGCACCTATTTGACGGTGAGGTCGCAGAGGTGGATTGTTTCGCTGACCACCTTGTTGTTCCGGTCCGGGTGGGAATCCTTCCTGTTGGGGTTGGGCTGCCATGTCCGGAACCTCTTGTCTTCTGGTTCGCGAAGTAACTCTGCGTGACCGTTTGTTTTGCTCTGCTTTGTCAAGATCGCTTGTACTTAGGAGGTTGTCTCGTCCTTTGGATCTGGTGTGCATACACCTGAGGTCAAAGATGAGAGGTTTCACAGAAAGTTAGCGACTTTAGGCAAGATAGAGCAAAACCGACTTAATCTAATGTTTTTCTTGAAAACGAAATGCTTAAAAGTCTCCACTTTGGCAACGGCGCCAAGTTGATAAGTAGGATTTTTGTATCAACTACTCTCAATCCATACCACTCATGTCATTGTAGTATTTGAGATGTCAATCCAAGTGGAGGTTTAAACTTATCGAAATAAAGAAAAGGCAAAGATCAAGTTTTGATAAAAGATTGGGTTTTGTTTTGTAAAGATCTATGCTTTAAGCTAACAAGATGAAATAAAGATTTAAACTTTGACAATAAAAGATAAAGGAGGCGTCTTGGGTGAGACTTAGTTGGGATCAAACGAGCTCAACCTTCCTTTCTCAACACACCAAGACTCAAGCTTTGTGCTTAGACTTTGGGTAAATCCGCCACTCTCGTGGTCAGATCGCTTTGCAAGCTGAGAATCCAAAGCTAGCTCTCACTAGTGGACTCAAAGTTACAAGCTTTCACAAGATCTAGTCTAAAAGTGCACAAGACACATCCCAACAACCAATCTCTTAGGTTGGGAATGTTTCTCTCTATCGCTAGCTCTCTTAGGCATTAACGCAAACACCTTCTAGGTGTACTAGCCTAGATTCGCGACTTCAAGTGATCAAGAAGAAGCCGAGATATAAAGCTCTAGCTAAAGAAAAGCTGGTCAAGGGAGATTAAGGAAGAGGTTAACAGGAAGCTAAAGCTCTGACCTTTCCTAATCTCACCCTCGAAACCTCTAAAGAACTACTCGCTACTCATACTCGAACCGAAAGCAAAGAGGTAAAGAAAGCTAGAAATCATCATTAAGACAAGATTAGCAAACTAAGTACTTCTTAAACTTAAAAGATTCAAAGTAAAAGCTTACAAAAGATCTCCAAGAACAAACTGTTTTTCTTGGAGAGAAACTGGTTACAAGATAAAGATTGCCTAGAAAATTAGGTCTTAAAGGTTTATATAGGGAAGGGAAAAGTGTATCCTTTGGTAAAAGTTTTGCTTTGACATCACAGATGCGCGCAGCTTGAACAACTTCCTCAAGCACTCTGTTTCCTTTTGCTCAAGGCTCTGTTCCGTCCTGCTTGTTTTGCCATCCGATTACTCCGATCTCCTTCTGGTTCATCTCCGATCATCACCTCCGGTCCCTCCTTCGCCATAAGCTCCGAATACCTGATAAATGCACCCCAAATGCAATGGAAATGCAAAATGCTATCCTAAAGGCTAAATGATCCTAAGTAGACTAAAGCTACACTAAATGTTATGAAATGAGACTCAATTATACACAGAATTATGCAGTATGAGAGGCTAAATGCATGCAAATGTTGAGTACATCAGCGATCGACCAAATAGTGCTCCTTCGGGCATCTCTTGAACTAAGAGGAATTCATCGTACCGAAACGAAATTTATATCGACCAACCTTATGTTTTATGGCTCCTTGTGAAATTTGAGGCTGTTCGAACGAGCGGATTGGGAGTTGGTTCGTTCGTGCACGCCAAACGTCTTTGGGATATGTTTCCTTCTGCTGGATGGTGTTCTGCTCGACCTTCTCCTCCTTTTCTTCTTCTTTGGTGTTGTTTATACTCCCAGGAGTCAGTTTCCACCATAGTTCGCGCCTTCCTTTGATTTTGAGTGCATTGGCCATTTTATGCATCGCCTTTGACCGGATTGACTCTTCTTGTCCATCTCAAGATCCATGCACTTTCGCCCGTCCTATCTTTTGGATTTTCCGACCAAAATGATGTTGTGAGGTCGCCTGTGAAGTTTGGTGGACTTTGGTCGTGCCGTTTGGAGATGGTCGAGCATGTCTCTTTCGTCGATTCTGGCCGAGAGTGTGATATCTCCTATTTCACTCGGGCCAATTGAGTTCTGCTTCGACCGAACTGTTTTTCTATCCCTCCTGGATTGAATTGTGGTTGGACTTCCCTAATCTCGCATGTTTGGCATTGTAGTTCCTCCTTTGGCCGGTTGTGGCCTTTGTTGTGCGCCTTGTTTGTTTGATGTTCTCAACCGGTTCTCCTGTCATATGTTAATCTGAAAAACACTAGTATTATTTTGTTAAACTCTGTCAATGATTGAGATGCTCATGTGATATGAACTTCTCAATCAAAGACTTGATCGTGAACCTAATGTACTTTGGGTCTTGATCAGAGCCAAGTATTGTTCATTGGTTTAAGATGAGAGAAATAGTGTTTAAAAGAATGACAATTGAGTGGAGGTTGTACTTACCTTTGCCTTGTGCAATATGTTCCAATGGCTCTTTTTGGATTCTCTGCTTCTTGAAACATGGGTGGGACTTGGGTGGGACTCAAACTAGACTCAATACTCAACACTTGACCAAAGATGGTTAATCTTTTGGTCGATTCGTGGCGATGTAGCTTATCCAATGCATTTTCATGTAGACCTCCTTTTGGTACTTTTTCCTAAAACAATTTTTTTTTGTATTTTTATAAAATTTATTAAACTCTGAAAAAAATTCAAGAGATAAATAGAACAAAGAAGTAGTTCTAAAATAAAAATAAAATAAAAAGAGGAAGGGATAAGAAAATGTGGGTTGCCTCCCACAAGCGCTTGTTTTAAGTCTTTGTAGCTCGACTCCTTTGTGTTCTTAGTTAGGTAGGATTGGTGGCTCCAAGAACTTCCTGTTGCCTGATGATTCCAAGTGCATCTTGTCTGTAGAACTTCCTTGATCAAGTAGCCATGCGACTCTCCTCTTACTTGTGAGCACTCTCCTCCACTTGTGTAGCGAAATCGCTTGGATGAGAAACCGGGAGGTGCAGCATCGTAGAAGGTGTCTTTGTCAACATTGGCTAGAGAGATTCTTCTATTAGGCCAATCCATGATCGCTCCGGCTGTGGCTAGGAATGATCTTCCAAGCAAAAGCTTTAAGTCCTCCGGATCCTTCATGGTTACTACATAGAAGTTGGCTGGAACTATGCAGCCTCCAAAATCAAGCTGAATGTCTTTAACCTCTCCAAGTGGTTCGGTCAATGATGAATCAGCTAGCTTTAAATCCATTCGAGATTTCACAATTGAATTGATCAATCCCAACTTCTTGGCTATCTCGGCCGGCATAAGGTTCACACTAGAACCGGAATCGCAAAGAGCATCATCAAAGTAGCTTCCATTGATAGAGAAATGTATAAGGAAGTAACCTGGGTCATGAAGCTTGTGTAGAAACCTAGGTTTAGGCATTCCCTTTCTTGCTTCCTCGTACATCTTTTCCATTTCAGCTAGACTCCAATCTTGTGTCCAAGCTAGGTCTTGCATGAATGGACTCTTGTTGCAAGCATTATCAAACGTCACACCATAAGGGAATCTCCTCGCCATAAAGTTGAAATCATCTATGGTCTCTTCAAGTGATGGTCTTGTCTTCCTTTCTCCTTGGTGGGAAAGGCGGCTGTGAAGATCTTTGTAAGGGTTCTTCCTTTTGGTGCATCTTCCCTCTTGTTCCAGTGGTTAGCCTCGTGGCTCTTTCTTGATCAGCTCTACTCTTCTTCATCCCAAATCACTCTTGGGTCGGTCTCTCTTATAGTAAAGACGGCCGCGGCATGTTGTGCTTGAACGGTCGTCTTTGCCTCGGTCAAGACCTTCTCTTCCAAGTTGGCTAAGCGAGTGGTTAAATCCTTGACTTCCTTGGAGACTCCATCTACTTTGTCTTCAAGCCCTCTAGCTCTTCTTTGAATATCTTGGCTCCTCTTGTCTAGAGAGATGTGTAAATCTCGGATTTGTGCCTTCACTTGTTTTTGCCCTTCCACCAATGTAAGCATCGTCGAGTAACATTGCCTCTCCTTTAGGTTACTTCGGCCACCTCCCTCTTAGCTTGATGAGCTACTGCTGTTATTGAATTGAGACTCTTGGTGGTGCCATCGAGGTTGTTATCAAGACTTGTGATCTTCTCATCTAAGTGATTGTCCATCTCCTTGGTAGAAACTTTGGTAAAGTGTATCGCTCTCCTATTGTCTTCAATGGCCTCGCCTTGCTTCTTCAAATCTTCCTCCATGTCTAAGCATCTTGACTCTACTCTCTCTATTTGGGTAGAGAGTTCTCCAAGTCTTTCCATCTAGTTCGTATCGCGTGAACTCTAGCTTTGTCAATGTCGCGGCTAGTCTTCTTTGGCTCTCCATGAAACCCTCAAGCATGGCATCGAAATGGTATCTCTCCGCCTATTGAGAACATGGTCGTGGTGGATGCAATTGGTCTAGGTGGTTGATGATAAACCGGAGGTCGGTTTTGATGATGATGGTAATGATGCTCGTCTCGGCTAGGCCCTTCAAAGGTCGGATGAGCGCGGTTGGGAGGGAACGGATGTGGCATGGCATCCGCGGTGGATCTTGGTAAACCCGGCCGTGGAGATCGTGTGGGATCAGGTATCCGGTTCCCAAAGTGGATGTTGGTGTTGTGATTCATCTCCAAGTACCTATAAACACAAGAAAAAGAAAAGAAAAAGTTAGTATTCGAAAATAAAGATCTAGACTTAGTTTTAAACAAGACTATGCAAGTGTTCATGATGCAATCCCCGGCAACGGCGCCAAAAACTTGATGCGGCATCTATGGGATGAGTACAAGTAATAATTCCCTAAGACAACTAGAGTTGCAAGTGCACAACATATAATTGTAGTATTTAGGGGTCGAACCACAAGGGATTGGATTTCACACATTACACAATCATATAGTTTAAATGATCTAAGCTAAATCAAACGATGCAAGGGTTTGTGTTTGTTGAGAACACATGAAAGAAGCAAATAACAATGCAATTCTATACAAGCAACATTATTGAACTATTGAAAACTCTTTGAAAACACATGCCAAGTCGATTGAAAAGTTTGTTAAAATCCGATTCTTTTGAACTCAAAACACTAAGGAAGGATTATTCCACTTTCGTGGTTCCAGTCCCCTATGTCTCTTAAACCAATGGGCTCAGCTTTCGTTGGTCATTGTAGAGTGAGACATGCATTACGCTCAAGTAATGATTGTTCACAAAACTCTTTAGGTCTACTTTCGTAGCCTAAAACGATTTGCCCATCAAATACCATATCCGGAGATATAACAAGCTTTTGGAGAGTATATCAACCTATGATCAAGTCACTAGTTAGCTACTCTAGCAACAAGCATTAAGCAAATAAAGATGAGAACCTATAGGGTTTCCCCTTTTATTTAACAATCGATTTCGAAGGCAATATGTCATGTCCTCATGGAAGGATCCATAATTCAATAATGAGTCATAGAGAGTAGAAGAGATCTCATGAAATCCTTATGAGAGAGAGGCGGAGAGATATGAGTCAAACTGCATCTCACCCTTAGGGAGAAATCGCCACTTCTAGACTATATAAATCGAAACATGCAAGCTATGTACAAATGCAAAAGAAGAAAAGAAAGAAGAACAAGGAGACCACCTAAGTGGCTCCTGAAACTTTATTGAATAATAGAATGTGGATATCGGTACAAGAGGCTAAAAGCAAGTATATATAGGTAGAGAGAGGGTCTAGGTAGGCAAGGTCTTTCTTGCTAAGTTTTTCTCCACCGGTCGCACAGCCAAGCTTAGAGGAGAGATATCCAGCTTCATCCAGCGAAACAATGAGACATTCGCAGAGGCTTGGGAGAGGTTCAAAGGCTACACAAGTCAGTGCCCACACCATGGATTCAACAATGAATCCTACTCTCCACTCTTTATAGAGGATGCTTGCCTAGGTATAGGGAGATGCTAGACACAGCTAGCAATGGGAACTTCCTCAACCAGGATGTAGATGATGGCTGGCAACTTGTGGAGAACATAGCTAACTCAAATGGAAGCTATGGAGAAGAGTATGATCGCACCAACCGGAGCTCGACCCACCACTCGATCGAGTCAGACGAAAAGTTGAGAAAAGATGTTAAGGCATTGAATGAGAAGTTGGATAAGCTGATCCTAGCTCAGTCCACAATGAAGAAAGTCAACTTTGTGTCTGCTGAGGAGATGGAACCAGTCCAAGAAGGGGAGGATACACAATTTGCTGAGGTGTGCTACATGAGCAATGGGCAAGGAGGTTACAACAAAGGATACTATAATTACAAGTCCAACCCTGCCATGTCATACCGCAACACTGATGTTGCTAACCCTCAGGACCAAGTATATCCTCAACAACAAGCAGCTCGATCGAGTCAGGTGCCACAACATGGGTATGGTCAAAAGAACAATTACCAAGGACCACAAGGCACTTTCCCTGGACAACAAATGAATATCCCACCAGGCTTCCCCCACCAACCGCCCCAGCCTGCACCTTCACAAGAGAATGAGCTCAAGGCAATGCTAAAGCAACTACTTCAAGGGCAAGCTGATGGGGTAGTGGACACAAGCAAGAAGCTAGCTGAAATAAACTCTAAGATCGAGAACCTCAACACAAGGGTTTACTCTCTGGAGAATCATGCTTCTTCTGTTGCTGCTGCTACAAAGCAAGGACAACTACCTGGTAAAGCTATTCAGAACCCCAAGGAACAGTGCAAGGTCATCTTCACTCAAGAAGGACTTGTTGAAGAAGAGGATCAAGAAAGGGTCATTGAAGATTTTTGTTTACTGCTGAATGATGAAGAGATTGTTGCTGCTGAGGCTCCTGGAGTCCAGATTGATCAACCAGAAGTGCATGCACCTACTGTGGCCATTCACACTTCACCAGTTGAGCTCGCACGACAAGCTCGATCGGCAGCTCGATCGAGTCCAACTCTAGCTCGATCGAGTCCGACCTCTTCTGTCCGACAGCCTGTTTTGCTTGATCCTTATCAACCGGTTGCCGCTTCCTCGTCTCGCCTACTTAGTCAAGGTCACAAGGAAGTGATTCACAAGTTCAGAAGAGATCTCAGTGGGATTGGAATTGAGTTGCCTCTATGGATAGCATGAGTGAGGCATTTGATCAAATGCAAATGGTCAAGGATGTTCTAGCCAACAGTGATAAAGTTTCAGAGGTCCTACAAGAGTCTACTCATCAGTTCAACCTGCTTACTTCACCCACCTTCCTACCAAAGGTCAAGGATCAAGGGAAATTCACTCTCCCTTGCACACTTGGGCATCTTGAGATTGACAATGCCTTAGTGGATTCTGGAGCAAGCATCAATCTGATCTCTCTCTCCATGGCAGAGAAGCTAGGCATTGCTGGAGCCTTGCAGCGCCCTACTACTTCAATCATGTTTGGAGATGCAACTTCTAAGTCTCCTCTTGGAGTGTTCAAGAACTATCACTTGAAAATTGGAGAATGCATCATCCAAACTGATCTCACTGTGATGGAAATGGAAGAAGAGAAGGATTTGCCTTGTATTGGGAACCCCTTTCCTTAGTACAGTTGGCGCTTCAATAGACTTTCACAAGCAAGAAGTGATCCTTCACAAGGTGAATAGTTTGGTGTCATATCGCTTGCAGCCTAGAGGTTCAGACTTTTGTGCCACAATTGACAGTACCAATCTCAGTTCTAAGAGTCATGGAGCTACAAAGGTTGTGAAGGAAAGGGTTGACAAGGAACCAAGAGTTGGGAAGGATAAGGATGAGAGAGGACCAAGGATTGAGAAGCCACGTCTTGAGAGGGCTAGAGTTGAGAAACCACGTTCTGATAGGCCACGAGCTGAGAGACTTGTTCAAGCCCCTTGTGTGCTTGATGAAGAGAGCCTTCAAGCTTTGTTTGATGAGCCACTAGGAAGGGCTCTAAAAGAAGGGGAGGATGTAGCCTCTAAGGCAAGACCAGGTGATAAAAGAAAGGATCCACCAGCTCAGGCCCCTTCAGTCAAGCCATCTCAGCTCACAATGACTTTGTTCCCCACCAAGTTTGAAAATGGGAAGATTGAGTACAAGATAAGGTACAAGGGGAGATCAAGGCCATTCTCTAGAGCCAAAGCCTTGGTGACTTCAGAACAGTCCAGGGACCCAACCAAGCTAAAGGAGCTTCTGTCTCAAGTCCTCACTATCACCCTTGATGGTGGGACTAGCTCAACCAATGCCTAAGAAGGTAAAGGTCAAGCTATGGGACCTTAAACAAGCTCACTTGGGAGGAAGTCCCATGTTTATCCTTGTACATATTCTATTTATGCAATTTCTATCTATTTTATGTTTTAACCTTTCAATAAGTTAAGTTTAGGTGTCAAAGGAGCCAGCTCGACCGACAGCTCGATCGAGCTAGAAACCAGGGCAACTCGATCGAGTTCCACAACTCGACCAAGGTAAGTTTTTGAATTTCAAATTCATAACCGTTTTCTTGGTCAAGGGAGTGGGTCCCACAAGCTGATTTTGGTCCCCCACTTCCTGAATTGATCAGAAAAACCCTAGCTTTTGTTCCCCCTTTATTCACCTTTTAATCTCAACCACACATCTCAAACACTCTCT